TCTTTTTGCCCAGCTGTCTATTTGTCTACTCCAGCCCACTCCAACTAACCCTGCCAAATGTTCTAGACCTTCAAGATGTGTGTTAATAATGTTATAAAGAACAATATAGAATTACCAGCTATAAATTAATGGTCCAGAAAAATTATGATCTACAATTCATTTTTTTTCCCCTGTGCCTATCTGCCTGATGTTTATCGGTGTGTGCATATACCTGTTCCTTTACAAAGAGATTAAAACATTTCCTCCAAAATACTAATTAATGAAACCTACAATAAAAAAAAAAAATCCAAACAAACCCACAACCACAAGTACACATAGTCTTTACAAAACTGACTTTTTCCTTTATCATACTAACTGTATTCTGACAAAATCCACTCAAAATCTGATGTGATCTTTGATGAAACGGTCTCAATTTTTTTTTTTTTTTTTTTTTTTTTTTTTGTAAAATATAATAATATTCAGTAATATAAACAACTCCTCAGGCTTATATGTTTCCTGTACTTTTACAAAGGCAATCACACCTCCACCATATGTACTCTGACAAGACTGAGCTTACATATCTCCTTGGTGTTCTGTCGGCGAATGAGGAACTAGTCGCCTAACTACCTTGATAAAATATTTGTGGTGGAGGTTTCCTGGTCTTTACTTGAGCACCAAATTCATGGAAACCACTGATATTGTCTGAATCACTCCCACTGTATCAGTTACTGTTATCTATCATGCCAAAGTATTAAAGCTGATTATTAAAGATTTATATGATTCCTTCAATATGTTCTTAACTAGTATTATTATATTCTATTTCTGTATCAAGAATAAAAGAATAGAAGAAGAAGAAAAAAAAAGTACCATTCCTTCTCAATTATGGAAAAAAAACAACAGAATAAAGATTGAAAAATAAAGCTATCAAACCTCTGAAAATGTTAAGATAAAAGATATACAAATATATACAAATAAACTTTTATCTCAAAACATATGGTATTCTGATTATCAAAACCGAAAAAAAACATTAAGTACACAAATGACAAATTAAATCAAATACACACTTCAACCGAGCTCTAAATAAGCGTTACTTATTAATATTATCATGATAAATCCCATGATAAGAAAAGTTGATAAAATGTCACTTCTGATATGGTGACGAAACATTTTATTTTAGGCATAAAAAAATCACACATTAAAACACGAAACTTTAACCATATTCATAAAATTCTACATTATCCAAACCCTCCTCTAATTAAACACTGCTAAAAAAAAATGTATTAATAACTTCATTAAAAAAAAAATCTGAAAAAAAAAATTCCATCCAAAAGAAAAAAAAACTTTTCCAACATCTATCAGCCGCTGATTAGCTGACCCTATCTTATATTCGTTCACAAACAAGTAAATACAAGAGTAATTAACCCTAAAATAAGAGTACTTTAAGAGTTAATTGACTTTTCTCACCTTTAGGACGAGAGGCACAGGTGACCCTGCTACCATCAGCTGATCGACTTTTTACTAGACTTCACTCACAACCAAAAAATAAAAGACATGTTTCGTGTTTGTATCTACGTTGATCTTTTTTTTCTCTATATATAATTCTTGATAACATATAGATTATTTTGTAATGATATTCAATCACTCGGGGATATTTATGAATCAACCTACAGGAGTTTGATAATTTTTTGGGGGGGAAATGAAAAGTCGAGAAGGAAAACAAATCGTTCCAATAATAATGGATCAGCTGTCTTTTGTAAACAACGTCGGGTTTGAATCTCATGGAGTCGAGTCTTTCACACAAAAATATTCCTTTAAAAAAACGAAACTAATAGAAATAATATAAAGAAAAGAAAGAAGAAAGAAGAAAGAGAATAGATCCAGGGGATATAGACTAGACAATAGAAGAAAGAAGAAGAATCTCATGGAGTCGGGTCTTCCACACACAAAAATATTCCTAAAAAAAACGAAACTAATAGAAATAATATAAAGAAAAGAAAAAAAGAAAGAAGAAGGAAAATAGATCCAGGGGATATAGACTAGACGATAGTCTAAAACCCTATAAAAGAAGAAGAAGAAGAAGGTTTGAATCTCATGGAGTCGGGTCTTCCCTCTCTAAATCCGCAAAATTAGTCAAATAACTTACTAAAATTTGTGGATTTATTGGATTTCTTCACGTGAGGAATGGTGGATTGTGTGGAGATGAAGGGAAGAAGGGAGAAGAGCAGAGTAATGGCGTCGTTTTTATGAATTCCTGGGTATTTAACACGAGGCATTTGCACGTTTGTCGAAGAGGCTGATTTTATTGCGATTTTAAAAAAGTTGTTGATATTTTATGAATTTTATGCAGCTTGTATGTGAAGATGATGGAGAATTATGTCAGGAAGCTTGACGTGAAGTAAGTATTTTGTTTCAAGTACAGGCATTAGTTAACAGTAGTTTGTGAAACTATCAATTTTTTTTAAACTATTATCAGTTATTATTATTAACATAGATAAATAATAATAAAGGAAGGTTGCTCATGATGAATATCACTATATTTTTATGCATTTTTTATCTGTATCATTTATATCACACATAAGAACTCAGTGGTTTATCCGTATTTTTTATTATTATACTTAGATTCTTTCTTATTAATGTCCCCCCCCTAAAAAAAAATCATAAACCTTAAAACCTATAATCATTTGTTTATTTAATTTTTTAGCTATTTTACAGTTAGAAAAAACTATAATCCATAACTGACATCCTACTTACTTCACATCAGTGGTATCCAGAAAGCCTTACAGAATGGCACAAAAGTGGACGCAGACCTTGACGGAAAGGGGTTGACGGCACTCCACTTGGCTGCTGCCTTGACGGATGAGGCAGATTGCATTACTGTAGCTGAGGTTTTGCTGTCGAACGGGGCAAACCCAAATGTCCAGTAAGTTTGTGAGATTTTTTTAACTTGTGGAAATTATCAGGGATTTGGATGTTGATTTATAAGTAGGAAAAGAGACTTTATTGATTATTTAAAATACATCTTTATATGTGATTTAAGGTTATGATTAGACTCTGTTAATTCTTTTTTAATGATTTCATTTGCTCTGTTCTATAAGTATTCCTTACAGGCTAGAAACTAATATTTTATTGTTAACCTGATATAGAAGTTAAAGGATAGATAATATTTTGTCTGTTACCTTTCAGTGAGATGGAGTAACCAACATGATAAATTAATCAATGTATAAGTGCATAGCTTGTAGGAATACTACTACTAATAAAAAGTAAAAATAATAGTATTAAATAATAGTAATAATAATAATAATAAAAAAAAAAACAGATCAAGATATCATACTGAATTATTATAGACACACTTAATGCCACACTTTAATTTTCCAGGAACAATTATGGCCAATCCAGCTTGCATGTGGCTGCCTCTCATGGATACTGCCGTCTGTTGGAGCTCCTCATGGTCAATGGTGGTGACCCTCTGCTCGGGGACATCACTGGACGCTCGCCAGTTGACTATGCCCATGAGAAACAGCAGACAGAGGTCGTCGACCAGCTGAACAAACTCCTGGACTCGGAGAACTACGAACGCCCGCAAGAGAACAAGGAAAAATTTGTCATGGCTTTCTGTAAGTGTAATTTGGTTGGGAAGTTCTTGGTAATTCTGAAGATTTTTATGTTACCTTTGTACTAATTTTTGTGTGTTTATGGAAAGATTGTTACTTTTTGGTATGGTTCTATTTTATTTTACTTATTTTTCTTTCTCTCTCTTTCCTTTTTTCAGGGAGACAGGAAATTGTTGAGCTGCCAGTCTTGTCTCAGGAAGGATCAGAAGTCTCATGTCTTTCAGAGGATTTTCCAGGTTCACAGAAAGTGGGTATGAATTTGATTTAATTAAAATTTCATGATACTAACTTTGGTTTTGTTATGAACCTTTGTATACTGTGTATTACTGTTTTCTTTTTCTGAAATGATTGAGGTGTAAAGCAGGGTGATTTATTATTATTATTATTGTTATTTCTCATTGTTTGCAGATATCCTTTAATACTGAAAAAAAGAAGTCTGAAGACAGGAAATTAGATTCCAACTGCAAGAAGGATTTGATGCATACCAAATGTTCTTTAAATGATTTGTACATGGAAGAATCATTTAGCACGAGATACAGTCAGTTTTTAAGAGACCTTGAGAACTACGAGCAACACCAAATAGACACGGACGAAGATAGTTGGAAGTCGTCACCTCCCCAGGAGCCAAAACCGAATGACAGTAGGCCATCCAAAATCCACTGCCCAGATTTCTTAAAGAAGTTAAAGCAGACCATTCAAAAATGCCAACATGACAGTGACAGTGACAGTGATATAGTCTCTTTGCAGAGGTGCCTAGAGAAGAACTTAGATGATGCCAGCAGGTCCTACTGCCCTGCCTCATCCTTTGCATCGTTCCTAAGTGAAGATAGTCAAGGTTTGTTATCTGAGCAGAGTCTTAATGAGCATGACATAGCCCAACTCACTATTGACCTAACAGATAACCTGTCAATCTTGACAGATGATTTGTTTGAGGCTACCTATGTCCCACCTAACAAATCAGTCAGTGTTGTGGAGAAATCTCAAAATTTGCTCATTGGGAATGGGACGTGTCTCTCACAGGAAGGTTGCATCACGCTCAACTCATTAGGTGAAGAAATTGATACACTCCTAGAAGCCGATTGTGATGACACTCTTACAGATAGTGTTATTATTGTGGCGGAGAAGAACAAAAATAATCTCAGGGGTCATGGAGATACAGTCACAGGAAGAAAGCCAGAGAAGGACATCAGATGCATGGATGAGAAATTGAGAGAGCACTCCCTCATTACCACCGCCCCTCGCAACACATCCAAGCCAGACCAGTGCCAGACCGTGAATCTCGTGAAAGCCCCAAGGAAAGAGATACCCTACCTCGAAAGACTTGCAAGAGACAAGCCTCCATTAAGAGACCCGACATTCAAGCTCTTTGATGGATTCACCAAGACTCTAACCCCAAAAGGGAAAAAATCCAGTACAAAACCTCCTACCACGACTTTCTCCTCCCCCAAGAGAGTCGCTCAGCTCACATCCGTCCCCAACACCCCACGATCCCACCAGGGGCCTGTGGGCAAAGGAGCACCCTCCACCAGTAGTTCCTGCCAGTCGTTCTTCAGCGTTGTGGAAGAGTTCCTTTATGAAGATCCCGAGGCTGGTATTGCACTTATCGAAAGGCGCTGCCCATCATCGTCTTCGATTGCAAGGTAGGTAGGGAATGGGGGTTGGGTTTTGATCTAATTTAGGATTGGGAGGAATGTGGAATTGAAAGTATGGCAAGCATTCTTTCAAGGTTTCTTTACGTTTTGTACTATTCCTTTTTCCTTTCTTTATTCAAGAACAGGGAAAATGGTCCTTTCTGTTTTCTGTTGCTTTTGAAGAGTGTTTGCTGGAATTTTTTTTCCGATTATACATATTTATCTTCTTGAGTATGGTGCAGGTGGTGAAGGGGAAGTATTATGATATTAGTATAATTGTATTTGAGTGAAGTATTGGAATTGGTATTTTATTCTTTTATTTTTTTTTATTCATTAGTTTTCAAAAACTCTGGAAGAAAGTACACCAACAGTACTAACAGATAGCTGCTTTATCTTGGATACATACATATGTGTGTGTGTGATTTATTTATTTTATTTATATATTTATTTATTTATTTATTTATTTTTAATACTCTGTCAATCTTTCCATTTAATCAGCACTGGCAGTCAATTTGGTAGTCTACCGAGGAGTCTGATACAAAGCAGGAAAATCACTGAGGTGCTTCAGCCTCCACAAGACAAAGCAAATGTCCATTTTGGTAAGACTTGGGTTGCATGTCTTCCTCTTGTAGATTTAGATATTATCTGTAGATGTGGCAAAAATTGATGTGATATTCCTGAGTATGGGTTTACATTATAAATCCCAATAAATTCATATCTAAGCAATCGTGTACTGATTTATTAGATTAAATGTTAACTTGTTGGTAAAGGCACTCCTAAAGTGGTAGACTTTTATCCCTTTCTGTATGGACCATAAACGGGATCATAATATTAGATTAAAAATAGTCTGACCTTCCTGAATATAACTTTACAATGACAGATCCCCCAAATATTAGCCTATAGTCACACAAGCACCTTGCTTTTACAGAAGAGAGCTTAAATTCCCTTGGAACGGTGACAGAAAGCATCAAGGCTCTATCGGCCGAGACCCTTCGTGCGCGTCTCAAGGCAATGGGCTACACTCCAGGGCCCATTACAGCCGGGACCCACCGCGTGTACCAGAGACACCTCATGCGGATCAGGAAGAATCCGCAGATGCTGGAAGAGGAAAATGCGGATAGTGGTAAGTTGATGATTAGTTGTAAGAGCTTGATTTTTATTATTCATTTATTTATTTATTTATTTATTTATTTTATTATTTTTTTTTGGGGGGGGAGGGGGTAATTTTAAGACAGTCAATTGATTGATTCATTGATATGAATTCTTTAGATTTACTATTACTAAAATGTGTTATTGTTGTTATTTCAAATTAACATTTTGTCTACGTGTGTCTTTTGCTTTCCTAGATTAGTGATTGCAGCATAATGCCTTAGCAGATGTAGGAGGTGACTGCAGTATTTAGTTTGATCAGTCATTGACTTATAAAACTTATTTGTCAGAATTTACTTAGCAAGATTACCTGAAAGAGGTATTTGCTTACCAAAATTATTTATCAAAATGTTCATGTTAGAATTACTGTTAATAGATATTTATTTATCAAAATAGCCTATTAAAATTATTCATCATTATTATTCAATACTTTGCATTTACATAATATTACTTATCAAGATGGGGATGTCAAGGGCATAGACAAAATTCTTGCTTCATATTAAAACTAATTTTTTTTTTCTTCTTCTTCTTCTTCTTCTTCTCCTTCTTCTTCTTCTTCTTCTTTTTCTTCTTCTTCTTCTTCTTCTTCTTCTTCTCCACCTCCTTCTCCTCCCTCTAGCAAAACCATCCTTCCCACGCGAGCTGAAAATGGCTCTAGAGGATCCGTCTTCAGTCGACTGGATCTCATGGGGTTCCTTAGAGAGAATCATGAGCGCCCCCTTCTGTCAGCCCGACCCCATGCGACACTGGAGGGACGGCACCACAAAGTCCTGCTTCAATTACCTGCTTTTGGATCCCAGGATAACGCAGGATCTACCTCTGAGGTCGGTTGGAGGGTTGTCCTTAAGGAGTTTGGTTAGGTTTGGGGGGTCAGTGAATGAGTTTTAGTCTTATATATGTTGTGCCTTTGCACAAGCACTTACACAGGCATGTATGGGTACACACAAACATACACACATGCGCATACAAGTGCACTCACACACACACACACACACGCACTCACACACACACACTCACACACACACACTCACTCACACACTCACATACAAACACACGCATGCATGCACAAACATCGCACTCGTGCACACACACACACACACACACACACACACACACACACACACACACACACACACACACACACACACACACACACACACACACACACACTCACTCACAAATATATATATATATATATATATATATGTATATATATATATATATATATATATATATATATATATATATATATATATATATATATATATATATATATATATATATATTTATGTATATATATATATATATATATATATATATATATATATATATATATATATATATATATATATATATATATATATATATATATATATATATATAAAATCTGATCTCTACAGGGGACTGATGATGACAGATGCAGAGAAGTTTCAGTGCTTCATCTCCGCCATCTTCTACATCGGCAAAGGATCAAGGGGCCGGCCGTACTACCATCTTTACGAGGCCATCAAGAGCCTGGAAAATGGCAAAAAGGTAAATACAAGGCAGTTGCCCTTGCTGATCTGGGCTTAACTTACACGTTGTTACCTTTTCAACGGATTTGTTCATCTTGAAAGGGATTTATCAACTGCTCTTTATTTTTTTTAAGGTTGTTGGTTTGAAATTGTAATTTTTCTTTATTACTATATTTTTTGTATCTTGCTTTCTCTCTTTTTTTCTTTTTCTTGGTTTCAGAACAGGGTAGATATTTTATGTATGTATATATTTTTCTGATCCTTGTAAATCTTTTTATTTTTACAAATGATTTTAAATTTCTTTATTTTCTTTCTATTTCTTTAAAAAGAGAAGATTGAACAAATCCACTTTCTTTATGTTTTATTTAATTTTGTTTTATTATTTTTTTATTAGCAAAATAAATATTGAAAAACTCTAATTAATATATTTATGTACTGTTGTATTTATCTGAATGAATCTTCTACATTTTATTTATTTTGGCTTAGTTCTTTACTTGTTAATGCATATCCTTATTTTATTTACTCATTTATTTACCTAGTATTATTTACTAAAATTATTGAATTAATCATAATCTTTTGTGATCAAATATTTTTATTGTTGCTATTTTATTTTCCTGATTTATCACTATACCTCTTTCAACTTTTTTTTCCTTACTTCCCTCTAATCCCCTTCTCTCCTCAGAAAAACAAGAAGATTGAGCGAATCCACGACATATGGTCCGAGGGCGTCGGCGTGATCTCTCTGCACGTCTTCCAGAACACCATCCCTGTTGAAGCCTGGACGAGGGAAGCGGCAATGATAACGGCCATAGGTGGGTAGAGGGAAAATAAGAAGAGATAAAGGGATAAAATGAAAGAAGGGAGTAAAGACAAATGAAAGGAAAAAAAATGATAAAATGAAAGAAGGTAGTAAAGACAAATGAAAGAAAAAAGAGGATAAAATGAAAGAAGGTAGTAAAGACAAATGAAAGAAAAAAGAGGATAAAATGAAAGAAGGTAGTAAAGACAAATGAAATGAAAAAAAAAAGATAAAATGAAACAAGGTATTAAAGACAAATGAAAGGAAAAAAAAAAAAATGAAAGAAGGTAGTAAAGACAAATGATAGAAAAAGAAAAAAAGAAAAAAATCAGGCTTAATGCCATAGGAAGTGTTTGAAACGTGAGGAAACGAAAATAGAATAAAACTCTAGGTAAAGGGGCTTACGGGTCTGAGTGAAGGGAAAGGGCTTCAGAGTAGGACCAAGTTAAACAGAATGCAAGATATACATTGCTAGTGTATCATTCACTGCAGTCTACAGTCCTTAGCCTTTTCATAGGCCTGTGCCACCTTAACATAAAAAAGAGAAAAAATACACATGTATATGTATGTATATATGTATATATGACTTTATTTTATATGTATGTATGTGTGTGTGTGTGTGTGTGTGTGTGTGTGTGTGTGTGTGTGTGTGTGTGTGTGTGTGTGTGTGTGTGTGTGTGTGTCTCACTCTCTCTCTCTTTCTCTCTTTCTTTCTTTTTCTCTCTCTTTCTGTCTCTTTTTCTCTTTCTTTCTCTTTCTCTCTCTTTCTCTCTCTTTCTCTCTCTTTCTCTCTCTTTCTCTCTCTTTCTCTCTCTTTCTCTCTCTTTCTCTTTCTCTCTCTCTCTCTCTCTCTCTCTCTCTCTCTCTCTCTCTCTCTCTCTCTCTCTCTCTCTCTCTCTCTCTCTCTCTCTCTCTCTCTCTCACTCACTCTACTTAGATATATATATGTGTGTGTGTGTGAGAGTGTGTGTGTGTGTGTGTGTGTGTGTGTGTGTGTGTGTGTGTGTGTGTGTGTGTGTGTGTGTGTGTGTGTGTGTGTGTGTGTGTGTGTGTGTGTGCACACGTGCGTGTGTGCACACGTGCGTGTGTGCACACGTGTCTGTGTGTATGTTTATATACAAGAAATAAATTATATTATATACAGTGCAGTAACAACAAATAACAACAAAAACAAATCCTACATTCCTCCCCTCTCCACAGGGCTTGGCAACCTAAGCAACAGCATCCAGGGCACCTTCTACGGGCTGCCGAGCACCTGGCGATGGGCCGAGCGAAGGCGCCTGGGAACGCATCTCCTGTGGCGGACGCTCCAGATCT